ATATATATAGGAATTTAAAATATCCAGTATATAACAAGATAAATTCCACACTGCTAGTATCCAATAAAATATTACCAGGTATGCAAGGAAACAGAAAAACATGACCCATGATTTGAAAAAAAAAAAAAAAAAAAAAAAAAATCATCCAGGCGCAGTGGCTCATGTCTGTAATCCCAGCACTGAGGCTGGGATGGGTGGATCACCTGAGGTCAGGAGTTTGAGATAAGCCTGAGGTCAAGAATTTGAGACCAGCCTGGCCAACATGGTGAAACCCGGTCTCTATCAAAAATACAAAAATTAGCCAGATGTGGTGGATCACACCTGTAATCCCAGCTACTTAGGAGGCTGAGGCAGGAGAATCGCTTGAACACAGGAGGCGGACGTTGCAGTGAGCTGAGATCACGCCACTGCACTGCAGCCTCAGTGGCAGAGTGAGACTTTGTCTCAAAAAAGTAAAAAATTTTAAAAAATAAAAAACTCCAAACCAACCCAGAAATGACATATGATGAAATTGGTAGAGACATTAAAGCTACTCATTATAAGTATACTCCATGTGTTCAAGAAGGTGCAGGAAAGCATGAGCCTGTTAAGCAAAGACATACAAAATATAAAAAGATCCAAACCAAACCTACAAAGATTTGTTAAAATTATTTATTTAAAAAACAAACAAACAAACAAAAAGCACCCTACATGGGAATAACAGCTCAGAGGCTAAAGAGAAAAGCTTTGTGAACTTTAAGTCACAGTCTCAGATATGACCCAAAATGAAAAACTGAGGGGCCTAAATATGTGGAAATGAAGCCCTCAAAATAAAGGAGAGGGTAGATTTTGAAAATATAATAAATGATAATTTTCAAAATTACATCAAAATATCAAGAAGCTCAGAGAACCATAGTACAAGAAACGTGAGGGAAACCTATAAGACACATCATAATAAAATTATTTATTTACTTTCTTTTTTTTTTTAGACAGAGTCTTGTTCTGTCGCCCAGGCTGGAGTATAGTGACATTGTAACCAGGTTTTTTCTTGGCTGCTGGTGAGGCACGGCTCCCCTGAGAGAATGCTGTGGGTTCCTGGTCTCCAGTCTCTTAAAGAATAAGCAATGGGATCACTGCAGGTACACCGTATGCTCGTAAATGTAAATATCGGACCCAAGAAGTGTTGCAGAAAGGTGATTTTATTTAGGCAGAGAAAAGAGAAGAGAAAGACTTCCATGAAGAGTATGGAGGGGGATTCCAGAGGGGAAATCCTAGAGGAGAAAGGGAGCTCCCACCATGTGGGAGGGGATTCCAGAGAGCTGGAAATCTGGCACGAGTGAAGGGGCAGGGGCATTTATCCTGGGAGAAATTCCCACCTTCCCAAGTTCCTCTGGCCAATGAAAAGAGTTCCTTTAAAATCTCGCTGGGGTGACTGACTTAGTTTCTTTCCAAGCCCACGAAATTCAAACATAAACTGTTAAATATCCTGGATGGAGAGAGATGGGAGCAGGGCATGGTGCTGGGAAATTCTTGCCCTTAAAGCTATGCCCCTTCATGGACCTGGAAAGAGAACACATTCTCTCAACGTGATCATAGCTCCCTGCAGCCTTGACCTCACAGGCTCATGCGGTCCTCCTACCTCAGCCTCCTGAGCAGCTGCAACTACAGGTACCTTCCATCACACCTGGCTAATTTTTGTATTTTTTTGTAGAGACAGGGTTTTGCCATGTTGTCCAGGCTGGTCTCAAACTCCTGGGATCAACTGACTCACCTGCTTTGTCCTCTGAAAGTGCCGGGATTATAGGTATGAGCCACTGCACCTGGCCAAAATTATTTAAAATCAATGATAAGC